TATGATATAAAAGTACGACAATGGCAGGATTTGAACCTACGCCTCCATAGGAGAAGTGATTTCGAGTCACACGCCTTAGACCACTCGGCCACATTGTCATTAACCTTTAAATATAGAAAGGAAAGTGGTATAAAAGTCTAATAGATTATAGAAAGTGGTATAAAAATCTAATAGATTATAGAAAGTAGTATATAAGTCTAATAGATTATAGAAAGTAGTATAAGAAAGTAAGAAAATATAGGAAGGTAGTATAAGACTCTAATAGAATATAGAAAGTGGTATAAGACTCTAATAGAAACATACTAGATGATACAAAAATATAGAATATAGACAAGTATAAATATATAGAGAATAAAGATAAAGAGTAAGTGTGGTAGGATATGAACATAATAACATATCTAGTATAAGTAGTATACATAAAATAGATAAGTAGAGGAAAAGTATAAAGGATATAGTTATAGTAGTTATAGAATAAAACATATAGAAAAGATATAAAGTATAAAGTATAAGGTATAAGATATAAGATATAAGGTATAAAGTATAAGGTATAAAGTATAAGTTATAAGAGTATAGTATAGTATAGTATAGGTGGAAGTATAGTAGGAATATACTATTAAAAGATGCAAGAGGTGGGGTTTGAACCCACGCCTCCGAAGAGATCCGTACCTGAAACGGACGCCTTGGACCACTCGGCCACTCTTGCTATTACCTTGAAGGAAATAGAAAGTAGAAAAACAAGAATAGTAATAAACATGATAGAATAGTAATAAACATGATAGAATAGTAAGGTGAATAGTCATATAGAATAATAAATAGATAGAATAGGAAGTAGTTTTGTCATATAGAATAATAAATAGATAGAATAGTAAGGTGAATAGTCATATAGAATAAACATATAAAAAGAATAAAAATAAATAATATATGATAGAAATGGGTAGATATATAGAATAGGAAGTATAAAAATTAGAAGGATGTATAAGTATATAATATATAATATAGAATAGTCATAAAAATAGACTAAGTGTAAGAATAAAAATTATAGATATAGAGATTGATATAAATATAAATATAAATATAAATATATATATATATATATATAACACATAAAATTTAAGATATAAATATATGATAGTGTAAGATAATGATATAAAAGTACGACAATGGCAGGATTTGAACCTACGCCTCCATAGGAGAAGTGATTTCGAGTCACACGCCTTAGACCACTCGGCCACATTGTCATTAACCTTTAAATATAGAAAGGAAAGTGGTATAAAAGTCTAATAGATTATAGAAAGTGGTATAAAAATCTAATAGATTATAGAAAGTAGTATATAAGTCTAATAGATTATAGAAAGTAGTATAAGAAAGTAAGAAAATATAGGAAGGTAGTATAAGACTCTAATAGAATATAGAAAGTGGTATAAGACTCTAATAGAAACATACTAGATGATACAAAAATATAGAATATAGACAAGTATAAATATATAGAGAATAAAGATAAAGAGTAAGTGTGGTAGGATATGAACATAATAACATATCTAGTATAAGTAGTATACATAAAATAGATAAGTAGAGGAAAAGTATAAAGGATATAGTTATAGTAGTTATAGAATAAAACATATAGAAAAGATATAAAGTATAAAGTATAAGGTATAAGATATAAGATATAAGGTATAAAGTATAAGGTATAAAGTATAAGTTATAAGAGTATAGTATAGTATAGTATAGGTGGAAGTATAGTAGGAATATACTATTAAAAGATGCAAGAGGTGGGGTTTGAACCCACGCCTCCGAAGAGATCCGTACCTGAAACGGACGCCTTGGACCACTCGGCCACTCTTGCTATTACCTTGAAGGAAATAGAAAGAGAAAAACAAGAATAGTAATAAACATGATAGAATAGTAATAAACATGATAGAATAGGAAGGTGAATAGTCATATAGAATAATAAATAGATAGAATAGGAAGTAGTTTTGTCATATTGAATAATAAATAGATAGAATAGGAAGGTGAATAGTCATATAGAATAAACATATAAAAAGAATAAAAATAAATAATATATGATAGAAATGGGTAGATATATAGAAAAGGAAGTATAAAAATTAGAAGGATGTATAAGTATATAATATATAATATAGAATAGTCATAAAAATAGACT